GTTAATTTCGAAATACCTTTTCTTCGAGCGCGATTTTTGTACGATTACTCCACATTTTTTTAATCCTATTTCGAAAATGTTCTGTAACTCTTTACTGCAATTGAGTATGTCAAAACGCAGACACTTTTTTTAAGCGCTTTGGGCCCTGAAACCGAGGAAAAAATTAAATTGGCGAAAACCGAAATTCGCTTTGACTTGTAGCTTTCGAAAGGTGATTCGGGCGCTCGCATTTAGTGGTCGTGAAAAATTCGACAATTCATTTTATCTCAAAATTCTTGGTATAGTTTGATAGCCAGCTCTATAAGCTTTAATCTGATATAGGGGTTTAGGTATCTACAGCTTAAACTGCACACGCTACATCGCTTGCACGCGAGACACCCCTGAAGGTATACTGTAACCTTAATGTACAGTTTATCCGGCTCTGAACGCTTAAAGAACGCAGATCGCCCATCTTCTTTTGCTTTCTTAAACTTTGGCATCAATTCGTTTCTGCGGTTTACGATTTCTTTTGGTAGGTCTGCCGATGTTCCAAGACCCTTTCCTTTCAGCTTCTTTGCCCTTGACATTACCAACTCTCTATCAGAATATCGCAGAAACCAAGCGATGATCGGTCTTGGCTTATCTTGTGAGGGTTTGAGCCTCCCTATGCGATAGATTCTTTGGTATCCGCCTCACTGGTGTCCAGCTCATTCTGCATAAATCCAACTAACACCTCTTTGACGTTCTCCGCTGTGGTGCCAGATGCTTCTCNAAGTAATTGACAGTGGAAATTTTCAAGATCCTACCGGTCAGAGGGACAAGGCAAAGGAAGTTTGAATTCGGGGATCCGCCGGATCAATATCGTCCTCAAGGAAAGACGTATTTAAAAACTCTTGTGCCTATTATAAGTCAAAGACGTCTACAGTGTAATGTGTTAGCCGGCGTACAAATTTACGGTTTACGAACTAAACGGGAAGAGATCTAAAGAAATATGCAGCATTTGCCGAACAATTCACTGCTTTACTCTCTACACATTATTCTTGACATGTCAGGTGAATAAAAACGAACTTATCTCGTTGATCAACATGGTTTTACCACTGGCAATCCCCATATTTATGTGATTGGAATAGCCGACAATTTCCGAAAACTACTCGACTCGGAAACTCGCTCCTAGTACTCCTCGGTTGTCCTTGTGAGCGGTTCTGAGCGGTAGTCTCAAGGGAGGTAGAGAGAGGTCCCTGGGAACGAGGTTGCGAAAAATCGCCTGACGTATGACGTCATACATGTCCAAATTCTTCCTTCTTGCATTGTTTGTGTTTCGAGTTTGTTTGACTAATCATGGCGTATCGAGCGCCTACTCTGCGAGGTTTAGCCGTCGCGCAGATGGTATTTGGTGCTTTAATGATCGTCTTTGGATTAGCATGTATTTTTGCTGCCCATCATTGGAGTTCGTACGTTGCTTTTGGAGTGTGGGTCGGCAGCTGGGTAAGTCAGAGAACTTGAGTGTTGTTCATTCGCTTATAATTGAGCTTACTTTGTGTGCGTGATGTTTTTATTGAAGATCCGATGGAAATCGTTAGATAAGAACAAAAGCTACAAAATTATTTTACTTTGGTAAAGACGGTGCAGATTGTAGATTTCATGTGAGTTTACATGTATGGCAAAAGTTCCCAAGTCAACCAATTAAGCCAGCCTCAGCAGATGTTATACGCTGAATTCCCCGTATTTTTCAACTCTTCTTCTTTGATAGAGCAGTGCTTCACTGCACCTCTCGTTGTTAGTTGATGCTACAATAATGGCATCAAACAAATGCCCAATCATTGATGAATAAGTTATTTATTTTTTCATGATGCAAAAAGTCAATATAGCAACGGTGTTACCCATGAAAACACCCTTAACTTCAGTGTCATGGTCTTAAAACCCAAGACGAGTATGGTGACCCCCATTTTTTATTAACTGGTTGAAATGCAAATTTTTGCAAGATCAAATAATGTGGGAGCCGATCGAGTGCCACGTGAAATTTTTGAAAATTCAGTCCAAAAGAGCTTTCTATTACATGCACTGAAAGGCTCTTTAATTTGAGATCGCTCCACGATTTCCAACTAATGTTTACAAACAAAAGGAAAGGAATCTGCTGTTGATTTCAGCAGACATTTGCTAAGGATGAATGAATGCATGACAAACCAAGACATGTCTGCATCTACAGGAAGCCAATTTAAAGGCAGTGCTTATTAACAAAATTTATACCACTTTCGTGTGCAGCTCTTCAAGTAAATACTTGTACATAGTGAAATACAGACATGTACATGTGTATGTATCACTGCCATTTATATGAAGCACTTGTGAAACCTCTAACAGTTATGATTTGTTATTCTTCTGTCATATTGTAGGTCTTTATCACTGGAATATTGGGATATGTTGGAGCACGAGATGACTCAAAACCAAACAAATGTCTGGTAAGTTTTTTAACTTTGTATGTCTCAATTTCTGAATAGGTTGTGGAGGAATTTTGACTTCTGTTCTTCAACTGTACTTTCTAGAAAATTATTGAAAATCTTACTAATACTCTGAAGAAATTCTTGTTGGCATTGTTCATATTTCTTAAACACAAGTGAGAGCCATATCAAACTGAAACATTGTGCTTGACGTTTGTCCCTCAGCTTTTATGATCAAAATTAGCTACCACAACACTTGGAGCTATTTTAAAAAGAAGTGTTTTGTTTTCAAAATGATTAGGGTGTTAGGAAATTTTGGGAGACCTTGGGACTGATGTACATTGTACTGTAGACATACATACTTAAATGCTGCGTAGAAGACCGGGGTGATTATTCATAAATTATTTCAATCAATACCTACATGTAACACTCCTTTCCACAGGTTTGCTTTGGAATATAATTACTAACAGTTACTATGAATGTTCAAAGCCTTGTTGCCTATTTTTGTATGAGGCAACAGATGAAGAGGTGCACTATGCCACATCATTTTGGTTGTGATGCACTGAAGTTTTGAGGAAATTGTTTATATATCAACAACATGTGTTTCTCAGTGTGTTTGTCTAGCTAGAATATACAGTACCAATCAGAAGAAACCTAAGAGGGAACGCTTGACCAAACGTGTTCTGTTTCCGTTCCACATGCGTTCCCGTTCCCGTTCTGTAACTGTTCCCTATCCGTTCTGTATCAGTTCCGTATCCGTTCTGTATCCGTTCCATTCCCGTTCTGTATCCGTTCTGTGCTGTTTTGTTCCCGTTCTGTTAGCATTCCATCGGTAAGCATTCTTGGAACTCGTTCAGAGGAACGAGGTTTGTGAGAACTTGTTTACAAGATTAGCGACACTCATTTGCATTTCATAAAATGGGTTAAAACTGTCGCCTTTATGCGAGAATACGAACAGGAAACTTAAATTTTCGTGGTGAAAATATGGGTCCAGTTACTCGAAAAATACGGGAAGATGGTATTGTAACTTCAAGGCCAGTTTATAGTAAGTCTTTTTCCGGGTAATTCCTTTTTCCGAAACGATACGAAGCGACCGGATATCCGTGTGTTTGCCTGAGGAAAGGAAGAAGTAAACTAGCTTGCCAAGCACTTTTAACGCCATCGATGAAAAAATGCAAGCAAAAGACGAATTTTCGGCTCTTGTATTTACACGAACACTTTTAGTGAGGTTTAACATTGAAGTATTGGCGAAAACTGTTCGGCGAATGTGGCAGAAACTTCACTGAAGGACGCGAGCGGTGCAAAGTACGGACAAAATCCAAAGTGAGCATTTTGTGATACTTTTACTGACATTATTTTCACAGGCGAATTTTCAGTAAAGACTGAACGTTATGCTCACCAATCCTTCCACAAAGTTGGTCAACAACACTGTAATAAAGGTCGACCAAGACATCGATGTTTTGTTTTGTTTCTCTTCACGAGGAAACCTTTCAATCCCAGTCTAACTCGACTCGTCCATCCATTTCCTTGTTTGGACATAAGTTGAGCTTGTTGACAATAACAAAATGACCGCGATGAACACGAAATGGACAAGAAGATGCAGGGAAGACGCTTGCTTAGTGCGTGTAAAAAGAAATAAAAAAAGACATAAGATGATTCGTTCTGTCATTTTGTCAAGATCGCCGGGCTGGACAAAAATTGAATGAACATGTATTTAAAGTTACATCGTTTCCAAATCCTTGGTAAGCATTCTGATAGCGTAACTTACTACCATGTGTTCTGAAGAACGCGTTCTCTTACAGTTTGTGTTCTGGCGAATGCTTTTTTCCATTTTTGTGATTCGTAACCATGCCGTATCTGTTCCATTTCCGTTCGGTATCTGTTCTGTATCCGTTCTGTATCCGTTCTGTATCCGTTCTCTAACCGTTCCGTTCACGTTCTCGTACCCATTCTGTATCCGTTCTGTTCCCGTTCGCAAACGCCTTCCCTGTTAGGTTTCTTCTGATCGGTACTGTAGCACTCTGGTTGGTTGCTATGGCCACTACATGTACAGTGTATGTGAATGGTTCACCCCAGAATCCTAAACAATATTGTTGCATTTCTGAGAAAACAAAAGATAGGACCAATACGCTATGTACAGATAAGATTTGTTACTTTATAAGTTTGGAAGAAAAAAAATTAGCCACAACAAATAAACTGAACTTTGGACTAAGCCATGTGACCTGCAGCCAGACTGCATGTACATGTATTATGTATGTTAGCCTGATCCAGGCTCTTGGCAGTTGGGAACGAGCGAAAAAAGAGGGTGAGCCAGAAAAAATGAGGGAGGACTAAGGCGAGGAATGGTGAGATAGCCTGTAATAGTACATTGTATCTTTAATGACCCTCTTCTGGTATAGCAGGAGCTGTTACACACTCTGATTGGTTAACATGACAGTACTGTCAACACTCTGTCGGTTCCCTCATTTCTTGTCAATCAGAAAGATGGCAAGTGCGGTCTGCACGTGCGATTTCAAAAAAGCCAAATTGCGTTTCATCTTGGACGATGGTCTGCAAGATTTCCCTAATAATCAAGTGCTAAGGAAGGAGCAAGAAATCTGCTTAGTAAATCTAGCTCGTGGGAAAGATGTTTTCACGATTCTCCAAACCAGTTTTGGGAAAAGTTTAATTTTTCAGCTCTTTCCACAAACGAAGCCAAACAATGGCATATACAACACACAAAACAATCAACAGACTTGTGCACAAACAGTTACAACTGAATCATGTGGTGCCAGAACGAAGAAAGGAGGATTATATCTACACATCGAGCTCAAGAGACATACAGTAAGCACATCGATTGAATTGATGCAAGAAACACTTGAACGGCTCTAGACAAAAGTATAGCTTTCTTGAAGTAAAGCTACGGTGTCTCCAAAGAAAAAACCGGACAAGGACAAATATGATATCTGTGATAACAAGCACCATACTGTACTTGCAAACAGTTGTAATTAAACAGTTGGGCCTGGCATCACAATATACTGAAGAATGCAAGTAAGCAACATGTTCACACAAAATTTCATGTTTTGTTCCTTGAAAGCAAATACTTAGAGACTTAAAGGTATATCTTGCAATAGAAATGGGCCATAAACAATGCATAAGCACATGGCAAATTAATTGCAGAGGTGTCAAACTCAGTGAAGCGACATGCAGACAACAGTGGAAACCATGCAGACTGGTTATGACCTTAAAAAATTTGCTATAGTGCATAGTCTAACAGCTCAACCCTACTTAAAATTCCTCCTAATACCACACCATAAAGTGCTCTTCATTAAACACGAGTAAAGTGAAGAAAGGTCAAGAGACTGAAAAGAGAATGACAAATGTACAAATATCACGAACTGTAGGAGTCATGTGGGCCTGTCAACCCCATTTTAAACGAGCGATCGAAAACATGCAGTCAGATCAGGTTTCCTCTCACAAATTGTGCTACTTCCTTACGCGAGAAATAGGAGAACATTTCCAGCTAATTGACAAGTAGACATTTTTACTTTTCGACACCTCATTAAACCAAAGGTGGGTGGAAGAGGGTTGTTAAAGATATTCTTACAAGCACTCTCCCTTCTCTTCCTCGCTATAGTCCCCCCCTCATTTTTTCTCTCGCTTACCCTCTTTTTTCGCTGATCCCCAACTACTGAGAGCCTGGAAGAGGCTATATGTTAATGTATGCAAAAATTGCTTTTATTTGGCCTTCTCTCTAAATATAGTAATTTATTTTTATCTTCATTCATTCCTCAGCTAGTGAAATCTACTGGAAGTTTACATGTATATAATGTTTCAGGGCTGGATGTATGCAAAAATTGCTTTTATTTGGCCTTCTCTCTAAATATAGTAATTTATTTTTATCTTCATTCATTCCTCAGCTAGTGAAATCTACTGGAAGTTTACATGTATATAATGTTTCAGGGCTGGAAAAAATGTGCTGTCCAGTCATCTGGGACAAGTAGATTTTCCCTCTGGGCAAGTAACTTTTCATTCTCACTTGCCCAATGGGCAAGGGATCAGGCAAGTTGTCTGTCAACTACATCGTTAAAAGAACAAACTATGACTTGCCCAGGGTAAGCAAATTTTGAGAAGCTACTTGTCCTAAGGGCAAGCTGGAATTCCAAGTTTTTTTCGAGCCCTGTGTTTGTTATGGACTTTATTTTTAATTATTCATGTACAAAATAAATAAATACTCATCTGGCTAGCTTGTAACATAGAAATTGTAATTATGTACAGTACTCTACATTTTTTCATCAATGGGTTTTAAAAGTCATATTTTAGGCATTAACCATGTGTACGTTCTTGATTCTGTTACCAGATTGGATGTTTTATGGGTTTCTCCATCTTTGCTTGTGTCATTGCTGGAGTCATGTTCATCTGCTATGCTGTGACCCTGTCTGATTATTCCAGCCTCAAACACTGCGAGAGGACATATAATAATGATAACTATTATTCCTCATATGGCTACTGGAGCTATACGAACTGCTACGACAAGTTTAATATGGATAGGGAGACAGCAGCAAATGTAGCCGGCTTGGGCTCTTGTCTGCTTATCTTCTCTATTGTGGAGTTCTTTTTGGCCCTTGCAGCATCTGTCTACTGCTGTGCTAGTGTCTGTTGTAACACTCCATCTGGTGCTGTGAGATCTGTAAGTTGCAATACTCAACTCTTGTAATTCTTGCATGTAAGGCGCTTTTCAATTGAGTATTGAAAGTAATCAGGCAATTACTTTGGTTTTGGTTTTGGTTTTACGACGCTCAATTGAAAAGCGCTCTTACTATTTTACATGTATTTCATGTATTTTATGATAACTGAGAGAATTCTTGTTCCCTAATTTGCCAAGAGCCACAATTGATGAGGGTGGTTTCCATAGAATTGGCATACATGTAAAACTTGAGAAATTGTGGTGAATTTCCCATTAGACTGAATCTGTCAAGTTAAAGAATGCAATTGGGATATTTGAGACATTTAAATTTAAGGGAACTCGTTATCTTCAAGAATAGTTTTGAGTTTTCAATTTTTCTGATGTCAACTGTTATTGACATCTTTTAATGCTTTTCCTCTGATTGTTGGTAGACCGCCGCAACCAATCAACAGGTCATGTTCATACCACAGCAACCCCAGTACATGTACCCGGGAGCACAGGGAGGTATGGTTCTTTTTCAGCCAAGCGGCGCAATGACCGCTATGCCACAGGGGCACCCAGCAGCAGGCCAACCAGCTGTTTTTGTTCCTTCATCACAGGTGACATTCATTTAATTAAGTTAGTTCTAATCATGATGAAAACTCAAGCGCCGATTGTCGGCCCTCGTGCATGTGGGTTGCATATGTAATCCACAAATACATGGTTAGTTCTGCAGTTCGAAGCCTCACTTATCTCAGTCACTGTGCTGTAGGATGTACATGAGGTTGATTATTCGTTTAGAAAGCTCTCTATTTCGAGGACGAAGAAAACTTGATGCGTATAATTTGTCGTATAATTATCTCACCTACAGTAGTTTCCATTTATTTTGGTCTGGGACATCTGGGGCTTGTTTGAATTGAATAGTCAGATGACTCCCAGCTTATTTCAACCATTCATGTCTTGTCAACCTTGACAATATCAAGCTTCACACTAGAAGCTAGGGAAGAATGTACAGGCCATGAAAATCCTAGGTTTTACAGAAGCATGGAACCTGAGATCGAAGAACTGCTCGATGTCCAACTTTGCACAAGTCTGCACACTGCTTTCAGCTTTTTCTCACTTCTGGACAAGTGTCATTGGGATGTAGGTATTGAATGAAGAGGATTGCTCTTTCCTAAGCACGCCATACTGCAAATCCCTTCAAAAACACATCTTGCTTGTATTGTGCAGCGATTTTCAATCACACTAGTGCTTGTTCACATAGTTACATTCTTCTTAGAAGCAAAACATTGTCACAGGCCAACTCACCCCATTTTTCGCTATTGCCCTGTCATGGCCATGAAAAGGGCTAATTTTGTGGACCTCAAAAATTCATAGGAAATTAACGAAAATAGCTACAATGATAATTTTTTTGCAGTGGTGATAAGAAAAATGAGGAGATTTAAGTAAGCGAAAAAATTTTGGGGGTTAGTTGCACTTTAACTGAATGAAACAATCATCCTTTTCTAGTGACTTATAATTCCCTTAAAGGCGTTTCCACTTTCCTGGTAGAAGATTAATTTATTGCTAGATGCACTTGACTTAATTGTCCTGCATGTCTCTGTTTTGGTTGGTTGTTTCTATTGTTTTCTTCAGGTATTCTTCAATTTCTTGAATTTTCTTGAGATAGTCTTGTAATTTCTTTAATTTGTTCCTATTTTCATATTTTCTGCTCTTTTTAATAATAAATCTGGTTTTGCCTGTTCTTCGAGTCTTAAGTGTACACGATACTGAACTAAAAAACCCTTATAATCATTTTAATAACCATACTGAATTGGGCTGGAAGTATCAAACACCAATTTTGAATAGCAAGATCCTTGTATCTGTGTCGCATCTACAAATAATTTTTTACATAAGATATGACTGTCATCCTGTGATTAGCTATGTACCCACACTTTTCACATACATGGCATTAATGTCTAGACTACTGTCGGTGTCATCAAGTACGATCTGTCAGAATGGACTGAGGTATTTGAAGAGTACAGACATTTGCATGTACATATATTTTAGTACAGTATGCAATAAATAATTAAATTACCATCTCACAGGCTGGAGTACCTGTGCAGCAACCTATGTTCTGGACCATGCCATCAGGATCCAACCCAGCTGGTACAGTGCCTGTGTCATATGCTGGTGCTACTGGTACTCAGGTGCAGACTCCTGGACAAGTTCAGGTATGAACATGCAGACTTTCCATGCAACATGTTGAAAGTGATTTTAGTGTTGATGTAAATATGCGTATCAGGCACAGCTATACACTGTACTTACAAGTTTATATTTCATTTGAAAACCTGGCCCCTTTATGTAGTTAACTACCTACTTGCTAATGTCATCTTCATTAGTTATAACGACCACACTCAGTTATCCACTTCCTTTGGCTGTGTAAGTATCAATCACCAACTTCCAATAGCAAGATCCAAGCTAGGCTACAGAGGAAGCCAGCAATTTGCAAAGAGCCAATCACTTACACCGTACGTGCTACCAAAGCAATAACAAACTGCCGCATGTTCATAAAGAAGGGGGTTAGTGTTTTTGTGTGATCACCCGTGATAAAAATATTTTTTTTTATGTTGATATCATGATTAAGTAATAAGTATCTGTTGAATGTTTTGTTTTGACCTCGTCCTATCAGCTGCCAAAGAATTATGAGAGACCACCACCTTATTCATTCACACAGACAGGCAACGCTCCGCCATCGACTGCTTCTGGCATTACTCCTTCTGAAGCTGTCAGTAATGTTAATGTGTGAAAACAGCGGTAACATAAGTGCTTAGTAATGATGTGCATGCTTTTAACAAATAGTTGTAGACAGTTGTTTATTAATGCACTTGGCATATAAGCCCTTGCTTGAGTGTGCTGCAGTTTACCAGAGCAGTTTTTTAATTTCTACCGCAGCAGTCTAGTGTTGTGCCAGGCTCTGTAATTTGGCATTTTGTGGTGAAAGCCACATTTTTTGTTCCGAAAAAATAAAAATAAAAAACTTTCCTGCAAGTTATGTAGCGGTTCAGTAATGGCAATTTTCACATAAGTCGCGGATAAATTAGGTGATGTATTCATACAGGATTCGTTCAAGAGGAAGAGCTTGTCTCGATCAACAATCCTGGCCAAAAGGGCTTGGGACACTTCTCGCTTTTTTTTTACGTGGAAACTGCAAGTAACCCACAATTTCCTGTCGTAGAAATAGCTTTACATAGCCTTACATAACAAAGCTCTTCCCCCCCCCCTAAACGATGTTGAAGTCCTCTCCTGAACGCAACATTGTCCAGGTGAACAGGACAGGGTGGGGGTAAATTGAATTGCTGTTAAAGAAAATTGACAGTACTTTTTGGCCAGGATTGAAGTAGCAGTGTTTACACTAAAGGCCTATTTAGTGTGAATACGGGCTATGTACTGTTTTGGACAAGAAGTTAGCTGTATCTATTTAATGTGATGGATATCTTTATGTGTCTATTTACCCTCCGTCTGTCTTCAATTGTAATCATTCGCTCACTCACTGGGTAGGAGGAGTTATTAACTTTCCTCGGATGTCATCTTGGCTGTCTGGGAAAGCATCGTCTTCCAGTGAAGACGAGATTAACAGAAGCTTTGATGAGTCATTTCTTACTTCCACAAGATCGATTCCAACGGTCAATTGTAACTCCTCTGAGCGCTTGCAACGTGCTCTGGTAATTAAAGCTCAAAATTACTTCTACCCCAGGCCACACGCTAAACCCATGTCCCGCGCTTGTAACTGGGTGTATGTTTTTTGCATAGATCTTATTCTGATTGGCCACTTTTAATGTATATTCATGGTCATCTTGACTGTATAATTAAAAAATATAGTTTATGTTTTCATAATAGGCAACTTTGTCATCACTTTTAGCTTGTTTAAGAATTTAAAATTAGAACCATCTGGAAATGCCTGGTAGAGAGAAGTCACGTGACCCCAAAAGAGGACAAAAAGGTCCGCAAATTTATTTTTACGGTTAGGCCTGCCGTCCATACTAATCCGTCAAGAAAGCGGAGCTTTTCAAAAACGCTCTTCAAACAGGAGGAATTTTAAACCGCCGGGTTTTCGTTTTCGTGTAAACGAAAAACATTCTGAACATTTCGAAAACGATGACATGGCGATAATTATGTGATTTCCCCGACCGAGTGTTCCTCAAACACAAATCCAAAATGACCAGTGATTCTTGCGTTTCCAAATTCCTCCGGCGTAGTGTGGACGGAAAACATTGGATGCGTTTTCAATTTTTACCGGTGTAGTGTAGGCGGGGCCTTTCCAAAGGAGAGAGATGTCATGAACACATGCCGCCGTGACGTCATGTATAAACAGTGTTTTGGCGGCTTAGATGGCAGGTGTCTGATGACTTTGTGGCAATCATATATACAATTATGTTAAATACGTTTAAAATTATTATCATTGTAGAAATGATGTAAAATCCAAGTGCAAAGTCATTGCAGTTTATAGTTCGTAGAATTTTTTTGTAGGGCAGGCCCCATCCTAATATTGTATGTTAATTGACTAATAAAGTATGTGAAACATGCTCAAACGCCATTTAGAATTAGCATTTGTTGATTTCAGTTTCTTTTTTCTTTTTATCTTGGAATTTTTTTTTGCCGAAGAATTCGTCGGTGATAAAGATATTCAGGAATTGATACACGATGGAGGTAAACTGGGAAGGAAGCGAAATTTTAAAGTTTTTGAAAGGAAAATTGGATGTTTCTGAAGGAGTCAAATAGGTCACATTTTCTTATGGTCGTTACTGAGAAAGCGCGATCGGTCAGTAAAACGACAGTCAGATGTAATTCAATTACCATTGCTACCTATCGATTTTTTGAGTCCCGCGCGACCAATGCCTCGCTATTAGTGAAATAGTGCTTCGTTAAACAGCAATCAGGGTTACACAGAGAAGGAGAAACACTTTCTTAGCTGCCAAACTGTCCATCAACAGTGAGTACAAGGAGGGAAATACTGAACATTTGCACAGTTTCGTGCTAACGACAGGGAAAACGAAGAAGAAATAGTAAATTAAGTGGAAGCGAGGAAACCGTTTGTGTTGATCCTAGCACTCGCTAAGACAAGTGATTTCACGCTTTTTTTTCAGGAAAGATTATGCAACATCATAGCCTGCAGAATAAGAGGTCTTGTGGGGCAGAGCACCATGCATATACAGGCGTCTAGACTGTAAAATAGGGCAGGAAAAAGAAAATATAAGCGCCATCCTGTGAAAAGGTTACCAGCGACCGCTCTCGGCCAGTTCCGCTCGCCCTATAACCCAATCGGAGGCCTGTTTACAGCCTAACGAGCGTCAAGTTTGACGGCGAGCGCGCATCTAAGCTGCCTGCTTCCAACCTCATATACGTGTTCACTTAGAAAGCCAACAATTGCAAAGTGAAAAGATAAGAAAGTAGACTACGAGCAGTTCCTCCCCCCTTAGGGCCTGTTTACAAGGAGGAAGGGTTGCCCTAGCAAGCGGGTTAACCCTAGATGGAGGGCAAAAGATAGCCTGGTTTACAAGTTAAATTTCACAGGTAGGGGGTAACCCTACAACCCGGGACAACTCAATGCGCGGTTACACTCAAAGGGTCTGGAAACAATTAGAAAGTTAACCCGGGTAGTCGGGTTAACCCTACCTGGGGTGTTAACAAGGGAAAAAGTTAACCTCCCTGCCAGGGTAACCCTAGCACGCAGATACGGTAACCCGCCTACCCGGGTAACCCAAGTTGCCTTGTAAACACGAAGAAGAAGAAAAAAAGGAAATGTGTGAGTGCTTGGGTAACCCGCTTGCCAGGGTAACCCGCTTGCTAGGGCAACCTTCTCTCCTTGTAAACAGGCCATTTGTCCGTCGTGCGTCGTTGACGCAAAAAAAAANCATGATTTAGATTTGTACCTAACACTTAAACCAAATAGTTAACCTACCTTGCACCAGCCACTGTTAAGCCTAAAGTACAATTTGACATTCTGTAAATGAAAACGAAAAGTACATCATTAATAATTCTGTATTTCTTTCCTGTGTGTTGTTTAATCTTGACATGTAGACGAACAAATTCCATATCTTTCACTTTCTAGCACCAGCTCTTTCCGTGCCAGCTTCAAACACTCTGTGGAGTCAGAGAGCTGCGATGTAGGTACATTGTTGTACCATCTACCAAAACGCGGGTTTAGGTCTCAAAGATTACAACTACAGTTTTCAACTCAATGTCAGCCAATCACAAAGGACACGGGCAATCCAATGTACCAATCAAAACGGCAGTTACATGTAGCTGACGCGAAGCGCGGGAAAACGCGTGCGAGAGAGTCACGATTGGTTGTGGTTTTACTTCTGATTGGATGAAAAAGTGGCACGAGTTTTTAAGCCAATCGCGTAGCGTACTAAGGCAAAACCAATTACTTTCCGACATTCAAGTGAAAACCGCTCTAACAAAGGTGTTACTATGGCAATTTGCGTTCCTCGGGAAGATACAAACATGGCCGATCGCCGACACCTATTCGCGAACCACTTTGTTAACATCACGGAGCTAAACTAATTTGAACTAAAGAACTGGGTGGACAATTTTAAAATACATTCAAATCTTGAGACAAGAAGTTATTGGGCAGGTGCTAATACCAAAACACGAGCGAACACAGTGAGGTAACCACAAGTATTTGTGGCAAGGCAGAGAGGTTCAAGATAAAAAAAGCACCCACAATGGGCATTTTAATGTTAAAAGTGTACTATACTCAGTTCTGATATACATATTTGAAATCTCATTCCTGAAATTAAATTTATTTTCGTGAACGATCTCATTCTTTTCCGTGCAATTTTTCTTACAATTCTATAAACTGAGAACTACATATTTTTATCAATTGATTTCGTAAAAAAAATGAACTGCACTTTACTTTTCTCTAGACACTTTTGTATGGAAGATAATTAGTTCACAATTAAAAACGGTCGAGCATTAAATTTTAATCATCGTCAATTTTAAAGCATTATCCTCAATTTACAGGGTAAATAATCGAGAACATGTCATTACAAATGATGGCGAAACTACTTCACTCTCTAGATTCAATTATCTCCCGGCGATTTTTCCATGTACGGTTCCAGCTCGTTGCCTATTTCATTAACAACCGAAAAGTTGACAACTCTCAAAGAGCAAACCTTATCCGACAACTCCGTCTCAACAAGTTGTTTGAATTTTCTATCAACAATGGTACCATTGATATCTAAAATCTCCAGCGCCGTCGAAGGAGATCCATTTTCAGATAAAACATTTATGAACGCATATGCGCCGGAATTCCTTATCAAATTCTGGCCTATGCGCAGAACTTTTAATTTCGGGTTATTAGCTACACCCTTCGCTAAAAAACTTGCAGCCTTTGTCGTGAATAGATTCCCGCAGGCTGAAATTTCGATAATGCTTCGGTTATCTGCGATTGCTTCGCCAAGAATTTCAGCTCCCGCGTCGTATAAATAATTCCACGAAATGTTCAAATCACACAGTGTTTGGGCGTTTCGTAAACCCGGCAACATAGCTTGCAAACCTGTAACTTCCAGCTGATTTGAACTAATGGAAAGCTTTTCGAGAACAGAATTGGTCATTAAAACATTTGACAACTGCTCGGCGAATTGGTCACATAAAATGTTGTGGGACAAGTCCAGTTCTTTTAGAACAGTTTTGCCACAAAGGGATTTAAGCAGACTTTCCACGTCTGGGTCTGTTAAGTTGTTTCTCGAGAGATTCAGCTTTTCTAAAGTTTGGTTTTTGGTGAGCATTTCTGCAATGCTGGAAATGGCATTCTGTCCAAGCATATTTTCAGATAAGTCCAGCTCTCTCACAGAGAAGTTCCCCTCCAGGCCTTTAGCGATGGCTTTCCCGCCTTCGTTCCCGAGAAGGTTGTTAGCGAGAAACAAACGCACAATACTCGACGACGAGAACAATTCAGACGAAATTTCAAACGCAGTTATCGGGCCAAGAAACCATCCGTTCAAATCCACTTCTTCATCAAAGCGATGCTGCTTAAAGAACTCAAAAGGGTTCGATTTTCCGTTTCGAACATCCATGGCAGTTGGTAAAACTTTCCTGAGGTTACCCACTTCTTTTACTTCGCTTTCGTTTTCTTCCGACATTCCAACCAATTCTTTTCGAGTGCCTGTCCTTTCTTGGTCTTTTCCCACTCTATTCTCTGCGTCCGCAATTCTGCTTCTTGCGCCAACAACCAACCGAGCCTGACTCGTAATTTTGGGCGAATTGTGCAGTGATGGCACATTTTGTAACCTTACTTCTTCCATGGCATTCATTTGAAGCCGGTTCCACCGCAAAAACAAAGAACGATCGTAACTAGCCGGGGTACTGTCCTTTCTCTTAGGCAAAGACATTTTCACCAAAATATTTTTCTCTTTCTTACAATTAACACCTAATCGACACTTAATCTTACACTGTAAGCATTTGACCCTCTCTCAGTATGCAAACACGGTCACCTCTGCAAAACTGTTGTTTTTAAGACACCAGTTGACACTGTGTTTTCTTCTCTTCTTATTAATAAAGAAATCGTTATTGGTCGTAGTAGTTGGTTCGTGTAAATAATTAAAAAGCAATTACATCAAGTGTATCCAAGGTATTCAATTAATAATTTGCGGGCTATATCCATTGAAACAAACAGAAAATATACCTCAAAGGCATAATAGGAATTAGTCTTGTTTGAGCCAAGTAAAAAAATTATACAATTAAGTACATTTTCCGGACAAAACGTGTGTGGATCAAACCAACTGTGAGTGTCTAAACACCTTTAGGGACTCTAATTTTGTTTTCACGTGAATTTTCGTTGTCAAAAAAATTTTGTTGAACGATTATTATCTCAATTCTAAACAGGAGATCCTACAAGAGTATTTCACGAAAAACTAAAAACGTATTTACGTGCAGTCAGCAATTAAAACCCAAACAAAATAACGCATGTATGTATGTGCACGTGTTTACTGTTAAGAGAAAGGATTGGTCGAATTGCTCTGTGAACAGAGAGGGAGAGTTTTCTTCACTGATCCTATAAAATGTCACAGCAATTACACATGCTACAATACTTTTATTGGCCAGTTTGAGTTTATTTAAGCTTGATAAATCGCACAAAGTCTAAATCACACGCATGAATGGTTAAGTTGTAATGCATGTGGTCTACAATCATTGTGAGCTTACAAATACATTGATCCTCAACTGCTCCTGATGCATCGTTGAGTGTTATAAGCACTTGCAAACCTTTAAAAAACACTGAGAACACAGTGATTGATCCATGCACTTTGTCATGTTGTTAGAAAATCCTGCCCGCTTATGTAACTCAACAATGCAGCGGCGGACTAAGGGGGGAGCCAGAGCACTACAGCCCCCATTTTTTTTCTTGTATTTATAATGAACCTGAAAAAATTTGACCAACCATCTTTATAGTGAATTTTTCATCCAGTTTGGTGAGGAGGGAGGTGGCCTGCACTCTGCTGCAATTTCTTCCACCCCGTCTGTTTGAATTTTATGGTTCCACCCTACAACGGACTTGGGAACATTTACAAGCACAGAAGAAGCTGCAAAAAATAGCCCTTACCTCTTCGCCAAATTGTTCTGCTATGTAGAGACCCATAGAGCCATATTTATCATAAATTTCCCTTTTTCCAGGATCAGCTAATATACTATGTGCATGATTAACTTCTTTAAACTGCAAGACAAAAGGTTGTGATACTGTCAGAAAGCTACATAAATCTACTAAGTACTTCTAAGCTCTTAGGTTTAACTGATCATCAGGTATTGATTATTCTGGTGTCATTGTTAACATTCTAATTTAGAAATTCATCCAATTTAGACAGATGTAATCATAAAGAACATGGAAAACAGTTACAGTAATAAAATAGTTTGAAAATAACTTAATACAAATTTGCACTTGATTCAGGTTTTATTCCCTTCCTCCACTGTGGGAAAAAGGATGCCCAATAGTTGGTTAGGTTCATAAAGACTTTGGCATTTTAATGCTTTCAAGGATTATTCAAGGGCCTCAGACTTTGATAATTGGCTACTTCTGTACTTCTGTATTCAAAACCCAATGAAAAGTAACCCAATGTTGGTACAGTAGAACCCTGCCTTTTAGCTGCCCTATTAAAGGGACACAGTCAGCTGGCGTACATGTGCATTAGATACCATTTCATAGCTAATTTGAATATCACAAAGACACAATCTATACTGTTTTTAACCAAATATGATTAAAAAAAATATCATAGGATGATCAAAAGCACACTCAAAAACAAGTTTTTTAGTAAACCATTGAAAATCAAGCAAGACACTGTGAAGATTGACGTGGATTTCTAGATGTACTAAA